AGCCGTAATGATGTTTGAAAAGCCCTCATTCTCCAGGATATTCTGCCCTGCAAACAGTATCTTGTGAGCCTGAACTCCAGGGATCCTCTGTTAGGCATGAATCCTGCCTCTAAGGACAACAGCTCTGCTGGCTCCTCACAAACAGATTGCACTCCAAGGGAGTTAAAAGCTGGGGTCTCGCCCTGCCCATAGTGTGTCCATGCCTCTGCACCATGACCTGCCTGGGGTTAATGTGCTATGCACTGGCATAGTCTAAAATACAAACAAACAAGCAAATAAATCAAGTCCATGAAAGGGTCAAAACAAGTATCTTCTTGCCCTCGGTTGCATAGAAACCTTCCCCTCTGTGCAGCCCGTGGCGTGAGAGTCCGAGACAAACCACCAACAAGGGAGAAAAAGAGGGTGGAGGACAAAGCTTCCCATCATAAAAGTGTCACTCAAAGAGTCAGGGCCTTTCTATGCTGATCACGTTACTGAAACATGGAGCGTTGTTGAGCACAGATGCAGCAGGCAAGCTAGCAGTCCCTAGATGCACCCATCAGGTGCTAGAGGACAGGGCAGTCTTACATTTGGACTGCCAGAGCCTGAGGCCTCCCAGGAGGGGCTTTTCCTGAGCCTAGGGGGGAAGATGTGAATGCTGAAAGACAAGGGGCTTACTTGGTGTCTTGCAGATCTTTCTTTGATTGCCAGTACGTCAGGCTGGATATCTCTGTATGTATTTTTTAACAAGTACAGGCCTCGAGACCCTTGGTTATCATGACATTAGGTATGGGGAAGGCAAAGATCTTTTGGGGGGATAGCTTTTATTACACCAGTTCTATGGGTGGAATAAAGTTAGACAAATCAAGTTAGAGAAAATTTTGAATACAAGGTATTTATCATCAGGAACGAGGGGAGAAGCAAGCACAACAGTTGACAGTTAAGAACAGAGGGTAGAGCTGGCAGGCTGGGGATGAGGGAAGGAGAAATTCCCAAGGGTAGTAGAAAAATGATTAGCAGAACATCAGGGCAATGGGCTTCAACAAAGGCCCTGTTTTCCCTGCTGTACAAGCACTGACACTGAAGCTAAATGCAGAAGTTCTGGGTCTAGACCCTGTTTCAAGGTGGGAAAGCACTGAGCAGCTCAGCCTTGGTGACCCTGCCCATGGATTTAGAAATCTTGTTTGCACAATTAAATTTAACTCTTCTGGGTCCAAGACAGGCTGAGAATATTTTGCAAATCTCACATTAAAATTGAGATTAAATTTTAACATTTGTGTTTGACATCCGTTTTCCTCTATTGCATGGGCCAAATTCCACTATCCAGTATTTTATGGGTGACCCCACAGTAGGCAATAACTGGCCAGGGTGTCATTGGGAGCAAAAGCTGTTCTTCTGCATCTACGAGGTGCCTTTTGTACTGCTGCAGATGTGGCACTTCAGACAAGGGCATCATGGTTTTGCTTGTGACATTTAGCAGGGAAAGAGACATTTTAGTCAGAGTTTTCAAAGGACCCGATTGTCACAACCCAGACTTCTGGTGAGGGTTGGGGGGGAAGTCACTTTTTAGGTGTTAAGGGCACAAGTCTAGGAATCTGAGAGCTGTGGGTCACGATACTTCAAGTCTAAGAGCCAAGGGTCACAATTCTAGGAGTCCAAGAGCCAACACCAAGGCTTATAAGGTATCAAACCAGGGATCACAACGGGTTTGTGGTCAAGGCAAATAACTGGTCCAGCCAAGAATTTAAAGCCAGGAACAGGCAGGGCAGAAACAGAACAACCCAGGGCAGGAGCAGGCAGGAGCTCTACAAGGATTCAGGCTGGTGTATGTGTTATGCAGGTACTATGGGCCTAAGCCAAGTGGAAAACTACAAGCCTCCGTGTAATAAAGAAATGCTTGGGACAAAAAAATAAAAAAGCCAAGAGCAGGAGAGCAAGGTCAGGGGTTAAGAACGAGGGCTCCAAGGTGGGCCACTGAGCAGAAACTACTGGCTACTTGCACCCACTGACCTCAAACACAGCTAAGGGGTCTGTGGACACTGCCTTGTGAAATTGCCTGGAAACATGCACAGACGAGTGAAAGGAAGACGGCCCCACAGGCAGCAAGGTTCCCTTCAGCCAGCACCTCCTTCCTGCTCTGTGAGACGGAGAGCTTGGCCGGGGCAAGGAGAAAAGGGACAGGGTCAGGCACGGCAAGGTTCATGTAAGACATAGGCAGGAGCATGGCACAAGTTCAAGAGGGGCAGCAGAGGCCAGGCTAGGAAGCAGAGAAGCCAGGGATCCGGGATCAGGAAGAACAAACGCTGGAACTGGCACCAGAAAAGCCTCCTCAGTTGAAAACGCACAGAGCGCTGCAAGGGCTACTACCTATATGCAGCAGCCGCAGGGACTAGCTAAGGGCATGCCGCCAGCCAGTCCCATGTGGGCAACCAGAGCCAGCGAGGGGCTTGTCACCTGCCTGCTGTTGCCTCCTGACACCCAGGGCTAGGGGCCTACTCAAATTGTGATTTCATGGATTGTGCAAAAATTGGACAAAATAAAATGCTGCTTCCCCAGTGGGACCTAGCACTCCTCACAGCTGCTGCAGCCTAGGGGGAGGTGGGTAGGGCCACATTATGGACAGCCATCTTAACGACTGGGTTAAGTCCCTCACCCAATTAGAGGCATGGGGGGGCACCACAGTAAACCCAAGAACACGGTGGCTGGCCTTGTGATGTACAGGCAAAATCAGTCGCCTGCCTCCTGGAGTTGGGTAGACCCCTACCTATGGAGTTAGCAGTAAAGCTGCACTCAGGGACCCCCACCACATCCCTCTGGATGTCTAGGCCAGGGTCTGCAGCAGGGAAAAGGATTGTGTTTTATTAACTGCTCTCAGGTCCTGAGGAATCAGGAGAGAAATGCCTCTGCTTGCTCTGTGCAATTCCTCAGCAACATGTGGGCTAGAGAGTTAGCACCTGAGAGCGGCTTGTGCATGAAGCAGGGTCCTGCAGGAAGGTCCCTGGCTATGCAGATGCAGAGCACAAATGATCTGTTTTTTGTTCACTTTGGAGAGCAACTGAGCTAAAAATGGAGCTGTCACACTTCCATCTTCCCTGTAGAAACTGGTGCACAAGTGAGCAGCTCTTTATCTGTGCCACCTCAGGAACAGGACCCCGCACTGCTAGGGCCCCTATGCTCTGTCCCCTACTTACAAGGTGGTTGCAAAAGATGATACAGCCTTGAAGTTGTCTCAGATCCCAAATCCCACCTGGTCAAGAAGGAGCAGATATCAAAGAGTAACCGCCGAAAGCAGCTGGGTGAAAAGGTGCTTAGCCTATCTGCTGTAACATTAGTATATACCCAATAGTAACTTCTGAAGCCTTCCATATAATTTTCTAACTAAAGGGTAATTTCCCTCTCTGGCATTCCCAAATCTTTACCATTTTGACATCTAATCTCATGTGAAATAGCGGGGGAAGTAGCAATTTTGTGGAGGATTAAGCCCCCTTCCACACCCCACCTTAAGAAACCATTAAAATCACAGAATAATAGAAAATTAGGGTTGGGAGGGACCTCAGGAGGTCACATCTAGTCCAACCCCCTGCTCAAAGCAGGACCAGCCCCAGCTAGATCATCCCAACCAAGGCCTTGTCTAGCCCGGTCTTAAAAACCTCCAAGAATGGAGATCCCACCACCTCTCTGGGTAACCTGTTCTGGTGCTTTACTACTGTCCTAGTGAGAAAGTTTTTCCTAATATCTAGCCTAAACTTCCCTTGCTGCAACTTGAGATCATTGCTCCTTGTTCTGCCATCTGCCACCACTGAGAGCAGTCCAGCTCCATCCTCTTTGGAACCACCCTTCAGGCTGTTAAAGGCTGCTATTAAATCCCCCCTCAGTCTTCTCATCTCCAGACT